ATATGATAAAAAAATATTACAATAATAGGTAATAAATATAGTATTTGTGATAATATATGCCTACATTGTGCGAGGCGTGATGACTGAGGGATGGGGGGGAGGTATAGTTTTAATTGATTGTATGAGTAGCAGTTACCACCTACTTTTTGAGTTGTATTGCCCCCTCCCTCAAATAAAATTTATAGTTCGGCGCCACTGCAGGTACCCTAATATGATGATTGTTTATAGATACATAATATTTTAATGATCATACTATATAATATTATAGTCAATGATAATTGATAATATGCATACTGTACTGATTAAATTTAATTAGAGCAGTGGCGTGGCGAAGGCTGCCTTTGAGGCATGTATGCCTGTGTGCCTGTGCCTCAAAGTGGGATGGCTGGGATGGTCTGATGTGTTTATGTCACTTATGTGTAAGACTGTAGATCAGTGAGTTTGACGTAATTAACCATAATAACTATAGGGCTACGATTTATATATGTAATAAAAATTGGTAAAATATGCATTTGGTTTATTAAAAATATGCAACATTAAATCCGAAAATTATTACGATTTGGTACAACTGCTTGGTCACAAATACTATAAAAAATGTTTTTCCGCCAGTCTTGAGAACTGTACCTATATTAGAAAATTCTTCTGAAGTATTGCACTGGTCCTTGTAGTTTTGGAATTTTACATGACAAAGGTCAAAATTAATTCGTTTAGTGGCGTATTTAAGTTTTTGTATTGGGAGGATATGATTTTATCCAGTAGCTCCGCATTTAAAGTTGGAAGCCTTAAGTTGGAACTCCGAAAACTTTTGCATATTATATACAGCATATGGTGGGAGCCGAAAGGGATTGATCTCACTGAACAATACGCCACTGAATTCGTTTTACAAACAATACAAGCAACGTAGGTACCTACTCACTATATGCATGATGACCTGCAGGGCTCGGAAGTTCTAGCAAATGCATATTTTTCTTGGTTTGTCCTAGAACATCTATAGTAAGATACAAATATGTAACACACTTCTCTGATGTCATGCACAAAATTTTATTTTGCTATTTTTTTTGCATATTTACGGTTTTTATTGCCATTTTGCAAATTTAGGGTTTATAGCACTATTTTTTGGTATACTTTCATAATATACATAATTTTATATACCTACATATTATACAAAATATAGGAAATTATCACATTATGTTGGAAATAATGATTAACCTAGACAGCAATGATAATATTATAATGCTATAATAATATTATTAAACAAAAAATGTCTGTCTGGGAACTTGGTTAGGAAATAAATAGACCTTATAAGTACACTTTTACAAACATATTTAAGTAATTTAATATATTTGTTAACAGTTTATAATTCAACTAGTCCCTGACGTCTATGAGCCCAACAGTTTTACAAAATTGTAAAATTACATTTAATTTTTTTTCTAATAAATTTTGATATTTTCAAGTAAAATTCATAATTTTTGATTTTTTGTGCTATTTATAGAGATCATTTTGGAGTTTTAAGTGCATATTTAAGAGCTAAAAATTAACATTTTTAGTGCTAGAACTTCCGATCCCTGATGATGACTATGTCAAAACTTTAAAACATACTATAGAGTATAGTCTATAATTATTTTAGTGTAAGAAGTGTAGTTGTAGAAATGTAGAATATTAAAATATCGAATTTACTGTTGCAGTTGTACTAGTATACGACAATTAAAATAGGATTTAAATTAAATATTAGAGATTGAACCTCATCTCGATTGTGGTTAGCGTTGCTGATCACCATAGGTATGTACTAACTACCAGATGGCATATATTTATTACTATTGAATAATTTTTTTATAGTTAATTAAAAATGATAGACCAAAAACCATGCCAAGCATCTAAGATACTATTTTCACTTGTCGCCCTGTGCTGGAAAGAGATAACTGCAGCAGTGATGAGAACATTAAAGACAGGAAACAAGCTACTAGGACATTTATAAATTGATGGTCACCATTCATAAGTAAAATCAAATGTAAGTTGTATTGGTGATAGAGTAAAATCTATGTAACTTATACATTTTAATAATCTTTGCATACAATTGTTCAGTGTTGGGTAAGTTACTTCATAAAAGCTACAAGTTACAAGCTACAAAATAAAATAGGTAACTAGATTACTTGTTAGTTACTCAAGTTCAAAAGTAATGTGTAACGTTACATTTTTTACTCAAAAGTAACTAGTTAAAATGATGTTATTGTTATGATATTTAAGTTTCATAAAAAAAAAAGTTTTTTTTAATATTTATTTTATACAATAATGTATTTTCAAAATTTTGATCAATTAATTTAGCTCGTTTTTTTGTACAATTATCTCCAGCTACACTAAAGAGCCTTTCAACAGAAGTGATTGAAGGGAGTGACGTATTAAACTTCACAAAAATTTGTTCTTATAAATTGAAAATAATATTAACACAAAATCGTTTATTTATATAATTATGTTAGATTATACTGGGAAAATGTTGCAATTACATAAATACTTACTTAAATTATTAATATAATTACATTTTCTGATGCGGCAACAAGGGGAAGGACTGCCCGGTGAATAGCACCACAATATATCCCCCACCAAAAAAAAAAAATTCAATTTATAATGTAACGCGTTCTTCTGCAAAGTTACTTCTAAATAAATAACGTAGTTACTCTTGCGTTACCCAAAAATAATAATAAGGAAGTTACCATAGTGTTACTGAAAAGTGTAACTACGTTACAGTAACAACGAACGCACGTTACGTTTCTACCCAACACTGCAATTGTAATGTTACTATAAATTAGGTATAATAGTTAAATGTCAAATAGACCCTTAAGGAGTTAAATTTGATGTGAATAACAAAAAGTCAGCAGTTCAGAAAATGTCTTATAGTAATTCCGATAAAATTGAGAATAAAGGTAAATGTATTGATTATTAAGTGTATTTATATATTTATTATATTAATGAGTCATTAATAAAATACAATTGTAGGCAAATTATAGAGCAAACGTAAATATTGCTTTTATCAAAGTTATTCATATTATGGTATGTTTGTACAATTGTACTTAAAAAAATCTTATTGTCCAATACTCTATTACAATCTATTACAAACACCACCTGATGCATTAGCTGAAATCCTAAGTTTTTGAACTTTAGTAGAAGATGTCTTAGTAATTCTGATTTGAGTTAGAGTCCAATAGAGAGTATAGACTATACAAAATAGGTCAAAACCTATGAAAAAAGTGTCTTCAAAGTATAAAAAAAGAAAATTATAATTAATGTTTTTTTATTATTATTTTATATGGATTTTTGAATTTTATGTATATTGTATACGATTTGTGATATGTTTATCTAAAAAAATATACTTGAAGAGTTTATTAATAAATTATAAAAATTATTTCTTAAATTATTTATACAAAATATTACACATATACCTAATATTCAATAAAATATTTAATTTATATTATATTATGTTTATATATTATACTTAAGGTGATCCATTTAACAAAAGATATTTAGTATTTAAAAAACTATTAACATAATTGATAATACTTAAATGCATTCACCGCAAAAACAAAGTTGATAAAGATGACGTCATAAAAGAGTTAACTCAGAGAAAAAGACGATTAGATTTTGTAATTTAAAATTTGTAATATTGTAATATGACTAATGTGTATAATATTTTTGTAAAATACCTTAACATTTTTTTTTTTTTTCATTTATTAAATTATAATTGTTTCAACAAAATGTTTGTTTTTACAATTACCTTAACATTTGACAACTACCAAAATTATTTGTGATTAATATCTAAATATACAGTAAATACATTTTTCAATAAATATTAAATACTAAATAGAAGTCATATAAAATTTGGGGAACTACTGTATATGCTACAGGCTGACACCCCCTAGAAAAAATTCTGGTTGCGCCACTGATTATGTGCAACCTAAATGTCTTAATTTAATTGATATATACTTAATTCTAAATTAAAATTATAATAAATAAGTAATATTAGCTAGTATAGAACTTGTTTATAAATGTTTGTATTTGATGAAGTGGGGTAATCTAATACAAATAATTTAGCTTAACACTAAGTACTAACAGTATATTTACAATTTACTATACAAAAAAAGGTTGTTTAAAGCAGACGGTTGTAGACATATATAAGAATACAAAAGAAGAATGTAAAAGAAAAAGTCAATAATTCTGCTGGTATAGAAATTCCTTAACCTAAAAAGAGATAATAATATAAAATAAATGTACAGTTAATATATTATTTTCTACAAGTATTAAACATGTTTTTTGAGAAATTAAAGTCTTGTTGCTAGGAGGTATCATTTCAGCGGAAAGTGTATCTGGTGGATCAATCCCCTTTTGAGTTTACTTTCAACTAACCACATTGCAGGACTAAACTGCTCCTTATCCAACTTCCTGTGTCTATTAATATCACAGACTCCTAGAATATTCATAATTAATAAAACTAATATCTATAATATTATGACTTAATTTCTATAAATTACCATATTTGAAGTAGTATAGGAATTCTAGTCCTGAGACATAACCATTCTCATCAGCATCAGATCCCAAAAACTTAGAATCATAATGGGCTTCATCTTCTACAGTACCCATCTTTACTTATAATGGCACCACACCAATAGATGGAGTAATTGGTCCCTAAACATTGGTTTAAACTCAATATTAATATAATATTATTAGATACAGCATATTCAAAGCATGGCTAAATATATATTTTTGATATATATATTTAGCTATGATTCAAAGTAGGTATTAACATGTTTTTAAGAAATTCATTTTAATGAATAATCTATCGCCCATAGCAACAAAGAAGGTCTTATCTCTGTTTTTACAATTTTTTTTTTCAAGTTGTCATAACTCTTTTAGTGTAGTTCCCACGAAGCACGAAACTCCGTGTGTTGGCCGAATCAGGAGATTGCGGCCATAGATAAGTAGATAGGGGGGGCGTGGCATACGTGAAATAGGGAATGGTAAACAAGCCGACCCTGCGTCGCGTATCCCGCCGTAGTCTTGGAACCGTTTTCATATTGGTTATCATGTTGATGCGTGGAACCGTTTTCATGTTTTTCGTAGGTTCAGACTTCAGATC